GGCCTAAAAAAATCTAAATTGGAAATGTCCACACATTTTTACACTGATGAGTATTTTGACTTTTGTTTTATTGAATTTTCATTTTATAATATTATTAATATTATTAAGCACTCTATGAATAATTTTGAGGTTATGTGCTCAGTGCTTGTTGGAGGGAGGGTGTGGCCTATTAACACCTTCTGTAAAGGTGCGTAATAAGCTGGTTCAGTTTTTTCAGATTAAATATATCACAAAATGTTCATATTTATGAAATCTTTTAAAATAAATCTGAGTTGAATGACTGAGTTGTGACCCTTAAATAAGCAACAATTTGCTTGAAAGAAAAAAGTGTGTGATGACAAAATTGCAAATAAAATAAATAATGATACTTTGATACTTTGTCGCAAGCAAGGTCCTAAACTAATAGTAAGGGGGGCTGTGCTCCGTCATTGTCTGTTTTTCATATTTCAGTGAGTAATTATAAAAATACCACTTAACTTACTGGTACTATAGATACAAAAGCTTTTCAATTAGTTTCAAACTATAACCATTTTGCCAAAAAGTGTAATCTGAGATTTATATCTCAGTGAAAACGTCTAAATATTTATCTAAGTATATCTTTGCAATTTCAGATGAATTAATTCACATGCTTTTTTTTCTATATCTCTGTTTAGACTAAATTATCACACACACTCACAAAAAACAGTACTTATTAGGGCCTGCCTTCGGGGGGGGGGGGGGGGGGGGGCACAGAGGGGGTCCGAGCTTGATGTCAGGATGGCACTGGCCCACTCTATGTCCCCTTTAAACCACCCCTGCTTTGTTGCTAAGTTGCAGCAGAAAAATTTGCACAATTGTTATGCAATTGTTGCAATTCATGTGCAATTATGTCATACACCAAGTATATCATACTTGCAATAGAGATGTTGCACATAACAATTTGGTTTGATTCCGAATGAAGGTTTCTCACAGTTTTGAGCCCCCAACCAGTCAGCTGTAGTCACAGCTCTCTCAAATACTGGCCTAACTATAGAGCCAAGAAAACTGGGCCAAAAAATAAAAACCTGAAAACAGACTGTAAAAGTTTGCCTGAACAAACGAAACAAGCGTGACCTTTTTGCAGAGCAGATGGACGGACTCTTGGCTGATCCACTAAAGGACGAATTGAAGTCCGTTGCGGGAGCAGGGTGTATTTTTCTTTAAAGATGAGCTAGTTGGAGCTTTTTAAATTTAACATGGACTGAAAATAAACTCCTACACCTGTTTCCAGTGTCTGAAAGATATTTTAATATTGTTGTGAAATAGAAAAAAAGCATGCAGTGGAACTATGATCTTTTAACAGAGAAAATAGGCTCTCAACGATTTATCTGCATCCCCTGACACACACACACACACACACACACACACACACACACACACACACACACACACACACACACACACACACACACACACACACACACACACACACACACACACACACACACACACAAACACACACACACACACACACACACACACACACACATAATATATCAGACATCATTGAACAATGGGTAACAATCAGATGTAAACAACAAAGAGTCTTGTTACTTTAGCAGATTGAATTATTGACGCGTATTGAAGATTTTTTGAAGCTACCGAGAAGAGAGTAGAATTTGAAGTCCCTGACTTTGTGAAAATCTGATCTTCATTCAACAGAAATTTTATTGTCTTATCAAAATTCAGCTCAATAATGTCATCTCTTCAATGTCTAACCCTAACACTGTGAGCTGAAAGAGCTCTACTGGCCACTCAATAATGTACATGACTATCTTCTTTTTGTGTTCATACAATAAAATGACTTTCTAGTTTGTTACCTGAAATTGTTCAAACTAGCTTATCCAGCGCCCCTCTATCCTGCTGGAGCCTGCCGTAGACTGGACGGACTCTTAAGAGTCCATTAGTGAAACAGCCACAGGTGTGTCCATCTGCTCCATCAGGGTCATCCTCATTTCTCCTTTGAAAGAAATGTGCTTGAAGCAACACAACAACCCACCTTAACCTTTCAACCTTGTTCAGGTTGTTTTGTTTCTGCCTTTTTCTTGTTCAGCCTTGTTTGATAAATCAAATCAAACTTTATTTATAACGCACTTTGCATACAGTTGTTGCAGCTCAAAGTGCCTCACAGAATAAAATGACCCCATACCCCCCCCCCCCCCACCACCACCACCACCACCACCACCACCACCACCACACACACACACACACACACAAATAAAGAGCTAGAGACACTGGGCTGGTTCAGAAGAGCCATAAGGCAGGAAAACATTAGTGACATGTGATCCACACAGGTATGGCACCTTTCAGAGTCAGAGGACTCAAAAGCGCTTTACACTACAGTGTATTATTCATCCATTCACACACACACATTCACATGCTGATTGTGCTCTGGGGCACACTGACAGAGGCGAGGCTGCTTTTTAAATTGAGGTTTTTCAGGTAGCTGCAGTGCTTGAAAGCTTTATAACCATTTTCCCATGAAATTTGCAGAAAGAATAATTTTCTGTGACCATCATGTGCTGTAACATTTGCCAAGTATTGATTTAATCCATCTCGAATGTACCTCAAACATTTCTGACCTTTCACCAGGTGAAATGGGTTACGCTGCATTTTGGAATGTATTTTGGTGACTTTCAATTACATTCTCTTACTGGAGAGGCTGAGAAGTGAGAACTGTTCTGTCTGAATGACGTCTGCTAAAAATACGCCGTTTGTGTTTTTATGGCGCTATTTTAGAAATTGGATTGTTGGTCAAAGCGATGTGAGACAGTGGAAGCAGGCCAGAGCTGCGGATTTGGCCACAGACAAGTCTCTTCAAAGGGAACTGCGTCTGTGACATGAGGCAGATGGTGGAGATGGTGTCAGAGCCAAATGTATAACTCTTACTGTCTTATTTAGGAATCAAATGTCCTGCTTATAGCTATGAATGAACATAAGACTGAGAATGAGATTTTTCAAGTTCAATCAATGTTTCCATCAACAAATGATTAAATAAATTGAGGCCAGTTTTTTATATAAATTTATTTTTCATTGTATCAGTAGGTTGAGCCTCTTCCTCATGCATGGTGAAAGGTTACCTGCCTATCTAAGAGGTTAACATGCAAACTCACACAAAACCTGTCATAACATCAAAGGTAACGCCTTGATTCCTCTAATACATTTTTTTCAGCTTTGAAACCCACGAAGGTGAGAAAAAGGCCTTTATCAGTCTGAATCAGTTTCCTTTTGTGCTTGTTTTTCCTCTGCATCGAGTCTACCATTCATCCCTTTCTTAAGCATCAGTGGCTCATCTGACCAGTTTCTTCTGATGTTGTTTTGTTGCCATGGTTTCCAAGTGCTACAGTATGCACCAGGGTACTGTCAGTGCAGAACAGCTCTCTGTGTTCTCGTTGGCAACACTGGCCAAGACAGCTGCCACTTCAGGAGACTGTTACAAGATCTCCAATTCAAAAAGAGACTTCAGCAGCAGCATCAGCATCCAAACTTCACCTACATTAGTGCAGGACTGTCTCAGCGATCTGACAGCTACACGTTTAACTTAGCAACCTTTAGGTAAACGTCCAGTGACGTAAAAAAGCAACATAGTCTTCCAATCAGTGCAACACACCTTAAGTTAAAAAAAAGCTCTACTTTTTAGGCTACTTTTAGTTTTAGTTTAGTTTATTTCAAACAAAGAAAACTTACATAATTTTTTTTTTAAAAATACCACAAACAGAAAAAATTCATATCATCCCTTCTTCTCTGTTTGAAAAGGAGTAGGCTGAGGTGGAAACTTATATGTCCCTACCCCTTTATACAAGTAATTTTTACTTGTTCACTAAGTCTAACACAAAACCTACATTAAAACAAACAAAATGGTACAAGTCACCAAAAAAAAAAAAAAAAAAAAACCCACCAAACCATATGGGAAAAAAAAAGAAAAAAAACCACTTTGGTCACAGAGTCTGATTTTTATTCTATTTTTCATGCTTAACACTCATAAATTACCATTCATTGTCTCTTGAATGCAATATTTAGACTTAAACACAAGTTACTGTTTTCCCTTGCTTTATTTCACCCATTTGTTGAATTTTTTACCAGTAAATTCTGAAAAGTTACTAGTTTATGGGTTCATGAAATTGAGGTTTGCTTTATTCCAGAGGAGTCCTTTTCACTATTGGGCTGCATGGTGGTGCAGTGGTTAGCACTGTTGCCTTGCAGCACGAAGGTTGCAGGTTTGAAATTCGGCTGCGGCCTTTCTGCGTGGAGTTGCGTGTGTTCTCCCCATGCATGCGTGGGGTTCCTCCGGGTACTCCGGTTTCTCCAACAGATCACAACATGCCCTATAGGTTATAAATTGTAAGTCGCTTTGGATAAAAGCATCTGCTAAATAAATAAACATAAACTATTAGATCTCCTTTAGGGAGCAAGTGTTCTGACACGCCCACTTGTTCCCCCTTCTGGGCTGTATGAAGGGACGGTTTAAGCATCCTTAGTGTAAGTGTGGAGAACTGGGTGTGAAATGATGACAAGTAATAAGAAGGCAAATGAGTGAGTGAGTAGGATGTTAACGCAAACAAAAAAAAGGCTGTAAGTGCTACAGCATCATCAGCATGTGTTCAGCTGGCAAATCTTCATGAACAACTTAATTTGGTCCAGTTTTAGGAAAGAAAGTGACAGAAAAGTCATTTTAAAACCACAGCGGGCTACTTTGTGAATTAACAGATTACCTCAAAAGCTCAGTATGATTGACATCTTTGTCACATTACCTACAAACTGCAGAGACACAATCCAAATCCAACCAAAATCGGATCTCATCACAAAAGTTTTGAAACAAACAAACAAACAAACAAGCAAACAAAGGTTTATTTGATCACGTGCACCTGCGAAATCAATAAATCTCGAACTACATTATTCAGTGTCCATCATTTATTCAGCGCTTTATCTTTTAATTATTAAATTTTATTTACCGTAAACCAAATCTAAACGCGCTCACTCACCGTTAATGAAGTGAACTGCTCTGATCAGCAATCCCGCTCCTTAGATGTCGCTGATGTTTCGGGCAGCGAGCAGTCAGAGATATGTAAGATCCTGAAGCATCCCCAACAAGTCAGCTTGTTCACGGGAGCGTTATTACGTGAGTGTGATGATGGCCAGAGCGGGCTGTGATGCTGGGAGGAGGAGTTGTGTTCGGGTGTGCGCGCGCGCCGATTGCGCTGCAGCGTTGCATCAAATGTTTCATCGAGCATGATCGGTTTGATTTTTTTTTTACAACTTTTAATGGTGATGCTCACACTGTTCAACCAGGAGGAGTAAAAAAAATAGTTAGAAAATATTTTCCTTCCTTAGAAATCCATTTTTCTGACTTATGCAAACATTTTTTCCAGGTTTGAATATGATTGGGTAAAATTCCAGTTCCTTATTTTTTTCTACAGAAAATACACTTAACTGTAAACTAAAAATAGAAACAAAATGCTGTTTTGGATCCATAAAGTTACACACGTGGTTTATGCTCTCATTTTATACATTTGTCTGATTGAATGTTAACACAGTGAGCAAATTGGCCAATCACATGTCAGCAACTCAACACATTAAGGCATCTATGGTGACTTCCTGAAGACTGAAGTTCAAAGTGAGCATCAGAATGGAGATAAGAATTTAACCCTTTGGTGCATAATGGTCACTACAGTGGACAGGTACTCAAAATTGTTATTTATTTGTTTTTGCTATTAAGCACAGCTGTTGAAGACTTTATTGTATTTGAGCCCCTCCATTTGGACTTCAGTAAGTCAAGCCAACATATTTCATGTTCAGAATGCACGTGGTCCACTAAGGTGGACCTGTAATAAATTATTTGTAAATTATAAAATTTTACAAAAAATATTTGTTGAAATTTGTTTCATTCACACCTAAAGATGAATGAAAAAAATTGTTAAAAAAATCATGGCTGAAGATTTCATAATTCATGCATCAAAGGGTTAAGGTAGACGAACTGCTATGAATATTTCAGAAATTGGCGATTTACTGGGATTTTTTTTCTCCCAAGTATATCTAAAAAGAATGTGTTGACAAAGAGAAAGTATCCAGTTAGCAACATGTGTTGATGTCAGAGGGCAGAGGAGAATGGGCAGGATGGATTGGATAATTGAAAGCACCAGTAGCTCAAATAACCATTCATTTGTCATCTCTGAATATTGAACCATCAAGTATCAAAAGAACACAGCAGGTGCCACTTAAAACAGAAAACTATACATTTCACACAGGATCAACAGAACTGGACCATTAGACTGAAAAAAATCTTTCCTGGTCTGATTCATCTTGATTTCTGCTGAAATATTCTGATCGGGTCAACATTTCTGCACCCTGTCACAAAGCTCAGATCATCTCTAAATGGTTTCTTGAACATAATGATAAGTTTGCTGGACTCCAACAACCTCCACAGTCTCCAATCCAGAACCTTTAGGATAAGGTAGAATGAGAGATTCACGTGTAACTGTGTGATGTTGTCGTGTCAGTATAGACCAGAATCTCTGAGGGATGCTTCCAACACCTTGTTGGATCTTTGACACAAATGATTTAGGCTATTCTGAAAGCAGAAGGTGGTCCAATCTGGTACTGGAAAGGTGTACTTACTAAAGTAGCAGGAGAGAGGTTTTTTAAAAAGCAGACATGCTGACACGAGAAATAGCAGCACAAAGCCAATAGCTGCTGCAAACAAAACAATTAATAAATCAGATCAAACTCAATATTACAGCCAGGAGAGAAACTGATCCACAAAAACACAATTTCAGAGTTTAGCATATCAAAACACACACGTTTCTCTCAAAGATAGTAGGTGTTGTTATTTTTTCCATTTTAAGGACTATTTTTTTTCTTGTCACTTCCTGCTTGGATGAAAATAATATCAAGAACAAAAATATTCAGAACTTGATTCTCACTGAGTGAGAACATTGCAACCTGTACCCGAGAAACACCCACAATCAAAGGGGCAATTGTCCAAGTCAAAGTGATATTTTTTGCCACCCTCAAACCCAATTAGGCCTATACATATAGTAATGGGCAAAAGTCCTGAGCCACCGTTTACTGCCATAAAAATGTGTTTCTTTGTGAAGTATATTCTGAGTGCCTTTTTATGCTTGACTGAGTCATAGATTAAAGGCAGCCTGGAAAGCCATTCGATTCAGCGTCTGTAACAATGTAAATGTATAGTTTGGCCACAACCCATTGAAACTAAACAAGTTGCAGGGGAAGAATCTTTGGTTGTCTTTCAAACTTTATCTGCATCCAATTGGACGGCACTAGTACAAATTTGAATAAACAACTTGACTTATTCATTGCTAAAATTATCTGCCAACAAGCCATAGAAGAAGCAAATGCATGCTTTTTCAAAATAAAAGGACTATGTTCTGCACCTTGGGCCCCCTTGACTGGGGGTGGAAAGGGGATTTATAAATAAAATGATTGATTAAAGTGCAAGTACCACCTAAATAAAATGATTGATTAAAGTGCAAGTACCACCTAAATAAAATGTTTTGCTAATAACCTGTATAAATGAGTATAATAGTGCAGTAGACACGTGTAATCACTATTTTGGCATTTTACTGCATCTTATTCAAAATTTATGATTATATCTCCCTCTTCATGTTAAACCTCTGCCCCACACTGATTTAGAACCAGCCACAGCTGATAGCTATAGAGGTGCAGGGTGACGTCTGTCTTGTATTAAGTGGCTGCACTGCACTAGACTCCAGCCAAGTCTCGGCCATACCTCCAGCTGGCTCAGCCACTCATGAGCTGATATGAAACTATACAGCTCAGAGCTGCTTGCCTCCCTAAAAAAGAAAAAAAAACTTTTTCTAGTGATAGAGGTAGAGAGAAAACCCTCCAGCCTGCTGCAGTTTCTCTGTTTGCTCATTCTATTGAGCTGTGAGTCTGCCGTGTATGTGTGTGCGCTTGTGGTGGTGGTGGTGGTGGGGGGGGGGTTGATGGGGTTTGTTCCGCCAGATGACGCCTCCTTTGTGTGCATTTTTTAAACAGGAAGTGTGGGTGAAGATCCAGGGTGTGACTTGCACTTCACTGAATCTAGTTTTGAATTATTATTTCAGATTATAATCGGTCACTCTGATCAACTCTGATCTGGCTTGCTTCTAGTTCCTAAAACAAGTGCACCAGAAATGTTTGTCCCCAGAGTACGACTTACAAGGCATTAATTTCTACTAGAGGCCACTGCAAATGTATTGCAAAGTGTCATGTTGTGAGCACGTTGTTTAACCCAGGACATGAAGAACCACACAAAATAAAACAAGTAAAATAGAAAAAGGATTTATTAACTGAGGATAAGGAAAACTAAAGGCGCTGCTCCAGAAAAACAGAACAGGACGGGACTGGAATCTAAAACTAAAGAATAGACAATCGTGAAACTTGTGCCGGAACCAGAGAACCAAGAGAATAATCTATTTCTGGGTAGAATTGTTCTTACAGTCATAGACCAGGGCTTAGCGGTGGTGGACTGGGTGAAGATCAGTTGAAGAGAGGCGAGAGAACCGATGACTGAAGAGGAGGTGGTCAGGAGATGGTTGTACGAGTCCAGGGTGTAGGTCGGCAGGCAGGCGAGCGATGGAGAGTGGAGGCCAGAGGATCCTGAACGGCGGGACATGGAATACAACTCCAGGCGTGATTAGAGGATACGAGGCGAGATACTGGAACAAGAACACAGGATTTCATAGGACAAGTTCGCAGGAATTTCAGGAGATATACTGGGCTACAAGCTACTCTTGGTGAGAGTATCAACCGGCACCGGAGTTGTGTCACACCGCTCCGCAATCCCCTGGCCCTCTGATTAGCAGGATCAGGATCAGCTGGAGCTCGTTGCCACACCCACCTGCAACACAAAAGCTGACTGCCAGGTCTCCTCTCCTGCTGATAGAGGCAGACCGTGACACAAAGATTAGTAAAGATGACCTTTAAGTACCTCTATCTCCTCATGTCACACTCACAAAGAAAAGCCCGATTCTAAAGTGTCCAACGTTGATGCTAAAGCCTTTTCAACGGAACGTTTTCCTGAGCCGACTCCATCTTTGTAGCTTTTCTTCATCGCAACCATCGACATATATACGCAACTCTGATGCTAAGCCCACGCAACGGACTTAAAGCAGTATTACTGGCAAGACACAAAACTGTTCAGGCCAATGCTACACCTGCTAAGGCTTCGATAGAACACGGTCAGATCGACCTGCAGAGCTAAATCTTTCACTACTGCTATATAAAAAGGCACACCGACATCATTTATAATGTAAGAAGTGTCTATCTATAATTAAAAATACCAACAACACAACTCACTCCAAATGACTGGACTGAGACTGCTTATAAAATGACCTGTCTGGAAAAACTAGTTAAGTCTTTACGGTTTCACCACTTTAGTTCAGTTTAATACGTTTCTTTGTCCTTCGTTACTTAAGTTTTCCCCACAAGACGAACAAATGAAAAAAAAAATAGAAAAAAAACAGTACAAATATGAGCAAAAGTTTGCGATCACTGACTGAACAGGTCTCAGCCAGGTTAACTTGAAACTCTGCAAACTGACTGTCAAACCAATATGGAATGCATCAAACATTTGAGCTATTTCTCAAAACCACACATTACACAATAATCTTCCAATTTTGTCTAATCACTTCCTGCGCCACAGCTGCCCTCTCTAAAAGACTGAAACCCGACAATGTTATGCTAAAGCAGATTTATAAATGAAGAGACGCCAGAGATAAATCAGACTTTGTTTCATAAATCACAAACGGAAACGTTTTTCCCCAGATACAAAAATCTGGTGTGTTTCCGGTGTGAATGAAGGCTTATTGAGCAACAAAACATGACATAATATGTGAATACATTATTTTCAGCTTCATCGAGGATGTGGCAGGTTGGAGCTTTGGACTGAGCTAGTCGAGCTGAATGAGGAGGTGGGGAGCAACCTGAACCAGTTTTATAACAGAATCAACACAATCCTGCACACTCACACCTAACGTCAGCTAGCATGCATTATTTTGGACTGTGGAAGAAAACCGAAGCACCCAGACAAAACCCACATGTTCAAATCCACACTGAAAAGCTTATTTTTTGAGCCAAAAGGCAGAACAAGCATTAAAATAAAAAATTAAAAAATTAAAACTCTAAGCACTTGTAGAAA